GGAAATTGACGGGGAACAAACCCATGAACAGTCAGCGATGTCACTTTCGGAATATAAAGGGAAATTAAAGATGACGTCGATGTCGACTTCGGTCTTCATACCGGTGCTGTTATTGTAGCCGACGCGGTCGCAGAATTAAGCTTTCATGCTGATATCGCTTCTCTAGAAGAAGATAGCGATTGTGATGATGAAAGCAGCAATAGCAGTGAAGATGGCACACAGCAATATCTATAGTGCCACATACATAATCATTTGCAAACTTAGCGTCCAACAACATGAAATCATTACCTTTCATTTTCTAACCCGACGGCACTTGCTCTCTCCTGAGATGGTTGCAAAGTCTTTTTAGGGTATCCGGCCCATGGGACGTTCATGTGCAGAGCCAATAAATACTGACGCGTACCTACACAAGATGCTAGAACCACATGAGACTCATTTATTCCATCGCATCTCTTCTCACCGTATGCACATCAACTTCAGCACTTACAGTTTCGACTTGCGAATGAAGTAGCCTTTGTCACGTCTGCGGCGTTCGCCTTGACCTCCAATCCGATAGCAACCTCGTTATATCTTGTATATCAGGTAGAATGAATGCGCATAAGCACAACACATTATGAAAGGCGTTATACTTATATCAATATACGTACTACATAGTCGCACCCATGCTTCACACGTCTGCAGGTTTCAAAGACGCTGTCGGAATGCAGTAGACAGGCCTATAGCGGTTAACATTTTTTGTTAACCATAACGATATTTCAGAATGTATTAAGCCCCGTCCCGAAGGGAATTAAGATTGTAATATGCCGTGATCGCTTATGGTCACTTATGGTCAATTGACCGGTCAAGTAGCCAGCGACGGTCACTTATGTTATGCGACCGGTCAATTAACAAGCCTGCTCATTCGTTGATGTCATAATTATATCAATCTACCAATCCCTGATAGACGCGCGCAATGGGTGGTGAGTAGACGTCATCATACTTTTAGTAAGATTAATATAATTAAGTCAGGACGAACAGAGACATAAGATTGATAGGACTTTATTGTATTAAATACCGGTCTACTTTTACCACCATAAGAGTCTTTACCTTAGTCGTTACCTTCCGCTCTGTAGTTCTACACCTAGCTGGGCCCCTGGTCGCACGATGAAGGTCAGGACCTTCACTGTTGTCAGTGAGAGTTAACTCCGTACTGGTAGACCAGTACGGAGTCGTTGGTGCCCCGTCACGCGATGCGATATATATATGATATAAATTGCATCATTTTTAAGATCTCATAAGGAAGTCATTAGCCCATAAGAATACATCACATGTAGATACAGCTGTAATGCGCATAAAACTAAGTAAAGACTTTCTGATGAGTAGCATGCGACCGAATAGACATATGATTGGAATAAATAGAGATTTTTTGATTTATGGAGTTCATACATTTTGGTCGCTATTCTTGAATGGAATCATAGTGACTAGCGAAATGAGTATGTTGGACAAGACAGTTTTTACCTTCTGTAAGTATGATATAATATGTAAGTTGTCGAGACACCGGTATCTGTTCCATAGAATATGCAAACTCGATGATGCATGCGGCATTGTTATTTTTCTTTTGTGCTTGGAGCTACCATGACATGTATTATCTAGATAGACTGCCAAACACTGTGCTTTGTACTCCTTGTATATTTTGAGGACATAGATTCTATGATCATGTAGCATGTGTTCTGTACTCTGGATAGCATAAATCTTTAATTTAAATAATATCATACATAATATTTGGATTTTTATAATTTTTTTCTCAAAATCACCATTTTATACCCATTCTGGAATAAACAGACATATTATGGCATCACTTTCACCATCAGTAGCTTCATTTGTATGACAAGCACGATATCTCCAAGCATTTTGCACATGTCTTAGCATCACATTCACCCCATCGTTCCATTCAAATCTCATTAACATCTGCAATTGCATTAACCTCATTCCTTCAGCACATAACCATCTTGTCGCCTCTTGATGCTCATGTGATTCGGCACTTCATGCTACCTCGCGTCGTGCCTCATGGGAATAATACAGCCATGTGCACGCACCGTTTGTTGCACAATGATATATCATTGTAGTTTTACTTACGTTCACTTAAGAGTACACCAAGGTGACAGCTAAACGTAATCACAATACTAAACTAGTATAATCTGGGTGAAAGATCCAGATGCAACGTAAATTACAATTAAACGACGTACAACATTTGTAGCACTGTACCACCTTTAGCTTACTAACACCTTGGTTCGAAAAACAACTTTAGACGAAGAAAGAGAGGGTGTTCTAATAACTGTAGACGAAGAAAGAAATAGGGTGTTCTACTTATTCAATAATGAGGGGAAAAAGAAGTATACTTTAATGTATACAATACTGCCAAGTATCCATGTATTTGACCATTTTGTATACCTCTGTGACGAACAAACAGCTTATTTCACGACATTTTGTGCAATATTTTTCATGGTAGGAAACATCTATTTGTTTTTGATCAATTGATGCATACTTCATATGAAATGTTGGGGTCATTTTTGGATTGTTGTGATAAATTAATGCTTTGTACTTATTCTTCAATCAGGAAATCATGTTAACGTGGTTGTGTATCCGAACACAACCGCTCGCAACATAAGGTAGATGATTGATCAATCTTAAGCTAGGTAGGCTCAAGATTCGCGAAAAATCACTGTGCGAAATGATCCAAAGCCTTGCACCACGAATGTCGAAGGAGGAAGTGACAACTACTAACAATTTGCATATCTGTCGCAAAATCGCTCTACAAATGGACATAAATCGAATCTTAGAGAGCTCACGAAAGTTGGGCAGCAAGGACTAACCTGTCGACCTTGCAATCGATGCTGTGCCAAAGCCGCAATAATATCACCGAAAAATCACTTGTCAAACACCATCGTGCACTGCTGTTATAAAACGTTACAGATATCCGACTGAATTACTCATTGTGTATGGCGACATACAAGATTGCTTCTCTGTCCTATTACCCGTTCTGACAGTGCCTATCAAAAAAGCATTCACGGAACGAGCTCCGTTGCGTATAGTCTAATATATAACGGAAGCGACGGTTGCGTTTGTAGTTATCGATAGCCAAAATTTGAAGCTACTTCTTTGTTGTGTAACTGACGCAGGGTGACCACACACGCTCAACCGTTACATGTCTACAAGTTGTTCATTGTAAAAAGGAATTACAGATTATCTGTAGCATTTTTGTAACGTCACTAGTCGCATCATGATACAGTTCTGTGGGTCGTCCGCACACACGAAAGCAATTGATTTAAAGCTGTCCGAGGTGCAAAAACGCAAACGCTTGTTACTTATTGACGGCAAATATATCGTACCAGAAGCGATTCAATAAGAGGTTTCCTTTGGGGTGGAGGCCGCTTCATATTGGCCTTCATGAACACGCAGTGACATTAAGCAGTAGGTGACGTATTCCAGGAGACACCGCGCACAGAGCTGTCGAGCCAGGCATACCACCTCGATAAGTTAGACTACCACAGATGGCTGATCGAAGATGTAGCACTAAGACGGTGTGCAGCAAAACTTAAAGCTGCTTCGATAAAAGCGGTTTCAATTCCCACCCCTTGATTCCCGTTCACAATCTTGCTTTCATCCACCCGTTGTGTCATTGTATATTTTTGTCAGCTAGGCGTACAACGCTGATAGGTTCGTCGAGGCGTATGCACACCTTTCTCATGGCACAATGGGTGTGCTGTAGATACCGACAGGTTACTTGTAAGGCTTGTTACGGGTGGATCTACAATGGTCCAAGGTAGCACTCACGGAGGTTGTGTCACCTACGCATCGACAACAGAGGTGCATCACTAACAATGCAACATTAACATACAACATCCTTTTGAATCCTGCGTTCACAAGAAAAGGATGAATAGCTGAGGACTCAATGGTCGTCACTCTCCTCTCGAATAGGCAGCGAGAGCTTCCATACTTAATTCTCTTGCTAAGCACTACATGTCGTCGGTTGAGTAACATTTTGTTGTTGTTGTTGTAGTTGCACAGGCGAGATGGTCGTCGATTATCAGTCCCCCATCTATAGCGCCAGCACAACTACATCCACAAGTCGCTATATCACACAACCGTTACGGCTAAACTGCGCAAAGCTCATCGCTGGCTCCAAAACAATCCAATCCTCCATAATGGGTACATCGATTTCTAAAGCTGATTTGTTCTCCGGACTAGATATTTGATTTTGAAGGGGAAGATCCTTAACTCGCTACCCTTTCTCATTAAAGGGGTATTTAATGATGTCCGCGATTAGGTAGCATGCATTCTTGAACGTGATGCAGCATAGGAACGATTACGAGCGCAACAGCGAACGTGGCCTTCCATACGGTAACATCATCCTGATCATCAAGGACTCATATGTGGGTGTGGTCGGTACACCAGTTTTTTTTGTGTAAGAACGAGGTCATTTCATGGTCAACCAGATTACATCTGCGCAGTTTTCACACAAAACAAGGACGAAGCTGCGGTAGCCGGTGCTGTAGCCGTCAGAACGAGGGCAGGAAGTCTGATCCTGTTCTAAGCTGACACCGACGGCTTCGAAAAAAGCCAACGTATGCCATAGAAAGGATTGACGCCTACTCTTCAAATGGTCGTCTTTTCCGTCGACACCATCTTATCCGATAGCTTTGCATGTACTAATTTTCCGACCACTCCAACATTCGCTCACTCGCCCCCAACCAAACCGACATCCACCAAGCATGCGTCTCTATGCTTTCGCACTCGCGGCTTCCACTCCGATCCTGGCACACAACACGACCTTCACAAGAGCACCAGTCTCCACGATGAGGGATGTTAATCTTGCGGCCGGTCCACGTCGCTCTGACGGTATCCACAACGATGTCCATCTTGATCAGTCACTGGAGGTGCGTAAATACACGAATGGTGAAGACAGGACGCGACTTCCTTCATCACCCGAAATGAGGGTGAAATCGGCAGCATCTTATCTGATGGCTAGACTGCACGAGAACTATCCGCGCTTGAGCAAGCTCCCCAAATACATACTGGAAGATTTACATGAAACGGATGGAAATGTCATCGACCACATCACCAAGTTGTATCCTGACTTCACCACCAAAACGAAAGTTGACTTGGTGCACGCGCGTGCCTTCCTAAATCGTCGGAAGAATATGGTAACGACACTTGAAGATGCGGAAAACACGATACAATTTATCCGAAAGACCATTCAATCTCGTCAGCAGAAGAGGGCCCAGGAAATGGAGGAGGAGCAAGCAGAGTGGTTGCGAGCCGGATCTCATCCTAACAAAGTCTTCAAAACGTTGTCCATTGCTCAGGGAACGTATGGAAGAGCATTGATAAACCCTCTGGCATCTCCAGACCTTGAGGTGTTGAGGCAGTACATTGAGAGGTACAACAAGCTGTTCATTGACGCACAACGTAAGGAAATCACGTTAGTGGGAACTTTGTACGAAGGCTTTGGACGTGATCTCGCGCGCTACTTGTTTGCTGCAAGTCACAGTCCTATCTTTGGGCCTGATGCGATGAAGATGCATCAAACCCTTTTGGAGGAGTGGTATCGAGATGGTATGACAATCGACGCGGCTGCTGATAAACTGGGGATTGCAACTACGACCGTCAAAGGCACCTGGATCAAATATCTGTACACCTTTATCGAGTACAGCGCACTGCTCCACACAAAGGGTCGTGTGAAAGAGGGTACTACCTTCTCGTATCTGAAGACAAGGATTGGCGACTACTTCTTCTCATTGCTGATAGCAGATGCAAGAAATCTTGGTAACACTTACTTAGTGGATTGGGAGAAAGAACTGTTCAAGATTTGGAAGAAAGAGGGCGTGACGCCCAACGATCTGTACAGAAAGGTAATTTTACGAACAAAGTATTATAAAAGTGATCCAGACAGAATGCTGGAGGAAGTCATCCGCAATCGATTCGCTACATGGTGGAACAAGAACGAGTTTAATTAACGCACGCCGGTCCATCACAACTCCTTTCCGCAGTATATACCTCTTGTAAACTAACTGTCCATGCATCTTAACTACAAATACATCGTTTTCACATACAAATTGTCCTTTTTCATCGGTGTCAACTCCTTAAGTTTGGCGATTGCGTTGTGGTGTTCGACAAAGAAAACGAGATGAAGGGTAGCGGCACAACGTCCCAAATTACTTTACGACCCCAACGTAGATAACATGTCTTGCGAAAATACTGACTTCGCTCGTGGGAAAACATCACCTATGCAAAAAGGTTTATGAAATGTGCCCCCATACATATAAAAGCAGCTATTTTTAGCTCCATCGGCATGTCCCTGCCACCGCTAATTGCATCAGGAGAGTATGCCGGACAATGCTTCGCAAATTGTGGACAAGACTCCGGTATGCGACATCATTACTGTGATTTTTCAAATCGTATTTCTAGTACGTATTTTGTGCAGCACCTAATGCACGTTAGTTTCGCTCTTGAGTAGAAATATAGTTCTGTTCATCAATTCGCATCAATGCTTGAGCGACTTGCACCAGTCAAAAAAAATTGATATCAACGCCGCATATGACATTCATTTGAATTTGTCAAAATTATGACTCAGTATATTTCGTTTTAGATAGATTTCGTACATTGAGGGGGGTCTGTATTGCCACATGTAGTGCTTATACAATGGCATATATGCAGACGGCATTATATTGCACAATTTCTCTTTCTATGCTACCTATAGACACGCCATGGCATGCATCGCATCCGATGCGCACAGCAAAGCAGTGGATATGCGCGCCCTGCAATAACTGGGATCGTTTATATATGAAGAAGCTGTACTTTACTTGGCTGATCAACTTTTTTTTGTTCAATATAGCACCAACTTTTATCTAGCGTTGTTCAATGTCGATACAGTCCTCGTTTGCCGTTCGATTACGATCTAAAATTCGTGCGTGCATGTGTAACTTTATGAGGCAAATGAACACCAATGAAGATCATTGATACATCTGCGAAGTCGCGTACGAATCCATTCCGATTGATAGTCCTGGCGTAACGACGAGAAGGTCTATTGAGAAACAATGATGTCCATGACAAAGAGTTCACTTTTTCGGATGCATATTTAACGATTCGCACAAGGGCCCGATGGATGTCTAAGTAAGTGTTTGTTTTAATGAAGGAATCCGTCACGATAAGTATCGCAAAATGACAGATCGCACGTGGTTTGTTACTACCATTTCATTCGCATTTAATATTGCATTTTAAGAGTTATAGCTCCTATGCGCAAATTCTTGTGACGGGGTTAAAGCTCTCTGACGCAATTAAGGATTTTATCACTAATAAGTGAGAGTGCTGGGCACATTATTCGTACAAAGTACGTACATCGGTAAACTTGCGGGTGGCAGCCACTTATGACGTCTATATGATATACTTATTCGATGGATAGCATTTAAACAATGCTTCGGCGAATAAAACAACATGGACCAATTACGTATGTCAAGAAGATCTCGTTTAAATGATGAAGAGCTCAAACCTGGTATAATCGTTGACTCTACAGCATTTGTAATGTAAACTCTTACGAAGCTATGCGACCTTCTTACTAATTCTATCAGTAATTTTTCCCTATGTCACTAGCAGAAATTCTATTTCGTGATGATCTAGTTACTGTAATCAAAATAGTTTTTTAAAGACGTAATTTTTAAACTTTAGCACTTATGGCAGCTCCCTTACACGCTACACTCGATACCAATTCACTAAATCTGCAACAAAGCATTTTATTATAGGCTACGTTCGAGGATGGCGAGACTTACGCACTTAAAGCCCGAGCTTGCGACTTTATACTTTAAAGCTGATCGTAGTGCTCGGAATATTTGAGACACACGTTTTTGATATCAATGACCATCTATCTCTATGCACGTTACAAGATCTTCATAAACATCACGCAATGCTGGTAGGGCTCGATGTAGAACAGTAGCAATGAATTAGTCAACTTGCCAACCAATAGACGTTTAAGGTAGGTTACGAATATTTCCGCACATTGAAAGCGCGAGAATTTTGGAGGAAAGAACGGAACAATAATACCCTCGATATTGATTTTTTCAACTGGGTCAAATTCGAACTTAATATATTTGGATATTATCATTAGGCCACGGTGAACATCTAAAAGCTTTTCGAAAGAAGCGAAGAGTTGGTAACTACTGCAGCGAACAAATAAGGTTTTTTGTTTTCGACGACACATGATAAAAACACTAAGCTTAAGCTTATATTCGCCTTATTATCCAGACCATCGGGTAATAACACGATGCTATTATTCATGCACGTGTAAGTCATATTAATGATTGTATCCATGAGTTACGTACTCTGATCGCTCTTTGAAGGATAAAAGTCCCTTGTATAGTTCCTTTCACACCGTATCATTGGTGATCGAAAGATGTCATCCTTGCCAAATTTATTCACTCTTAAATATGTGCAGCTACCGAAAATGTAGCATCTTAGGCGGAGTTGGGCTCGAGTCGGCATGAGTTAATACTAAATATATGGGCATACATTCTTCTCATTAATCTCGTGAAGCACTCAATCAGATTCAAATCATAGAATTTGCTTTCCTTGGCGATATTGAAGATGAAAAAGACGTTGTGAAGCGCTGCATTAATTTAAGACCATTTTTAATTCATTCTGTCGCCGAGGTTGTCCCGTACGAAAGCCGTGTCATAATCTGTAGAGCCGAAAACCTAGCCTTTGATATTAACTTTAGGAGAAAACGGCTGCACCGTCAACCTCAAGTAAGTACGGAGCAAATGTGGAAGCAAAATTGCGTTAATTTTTTAAGTTGAACTAGGCTCAGCTACATATATATAGTAGGGTGGACTTAGCGTTAGTATTAAAGTCGAGCTTGCTAGTCACAGAGTCATCTGTATATAGATTCAATCTTTTATTACAATATTCATTGCCATAAGTCGTCATATTAGTACAATTGACGTCTCTATTGGAATGCTCGATTACTATACTCAGGACAAAAAAATACAATTATGTGATATCATATTTTTTTCTTACACGGTTGCGTGCCACGGTGTTATCTTGGTCCAGAGCTTATAGGATACTAGTGTAGTGATAACGGCTTTATTAGATGTTTATGCCCAGCTTTAGATCTGATACATTTTTCCATCCGTGGTATAGCCTATTTAATAGAGCCGCGAGCAGTCGGTATATTATCTAACAACTTTGAGCATTGCAGCATTCCCCCTATACTCTATGGTGTCTCAAAGCAACATAATTAGGGATTAAAATTGAGATAAAAGCTTGATGATAGCACAGGTTGAAATGTTCTGTAAATCGAAAGGCCATAGTATTTCAATCTGGCGATAACAACGGCCTATGTCGTCGGCCTTACTGGCCATTGTTTTTTTAATATCGCTTACCATACTAAGTGGAAATATCTAGTATAGTTATTTGCAAGATATAAAGGTTTGCGCAATCAGGATATGTTAACGAGAGATATGTTCGGCTGAATCGCATGAGAATTCAAACACATTTCTAAAGCGTGACAATGTTTGCGATATCCGTTCATTGAATGTCTATAACGACAATTAGTTGGAAATATGTCAATCAGAAGGATACGTGGTATGCGGATCTATTGCGACAGAAATATATTAGGTGAAGAGACCGAGACATGTAACTGTTAGCAACTGTTGGAATTGGCACTGGTTCTAGCACTTCACTTCAACGACTGTCAGTCGAACTATTACAAACTTTAGATACGACGAGAGAAACGGCGTATTAAAATAGAAGCCATCAGCGCAGTACAAACGCGGTATATCTGATATATCACATTTGGGGTCAAAAGATTGCCATAATTGCACTCGTGCAAAAATTTTTTATTAAATATTGTCTTTTTTCGTGGTTAACGCTACATCATGCATTACAACGGCACTGCATCTTGACCATATCTAAGCTGCAACGACGTCCATTCAGTCTAACCATCATTTAAAAAATTTCCGTGTTAGCCTTAATAATCGGTCCCATCTACTTTGCTACTTCGAACGTCCACGTAGCGTCTCTCTTATTTTATCTGATTTGTCAATGTGGCAACATTATGACCATCATGTTATTTCGGATCTTACCTGTCACAAAACTGCCTTTGAAATTAATATCCTCCATTCCTGTAAAAAATGTCAAAAACAATAACGATCAACAGCTAAGGCTAGTGATCTAGGCATAAGTCAATGGCACGACATAAAATTTTGTTTTGTATGCTGATGAGGCTTCATAAACGTAAAATTATCGAAAAGATAAAAAAATTGAAACGTTTTGGACTGGATTAAATACGACCTTAGTTCGATATGGTAGTCATAGGACCTAATAGTGAGAAATGTAAATATTTGATCGTGGCTGAAGCTACTTTTTAAGAATAAGGCGATTAGAGCGCGCGTGGTGGGTAAACTAATACTATCCCTTTGTAAAAAAAAAACTTATTCGATATATATGTACACCCTTAACCCTTGATACGTACAACTTTCTTTGAGATAGAGATCCCTCCTTAAGTACCGTAAACTCCCCAACTAGGTACTGCACACTCAAACATACATAATGTCATACAAATTACTTTGCTTTGTACACTCCCCTCCTTGATATAGGCCTCTTTTTGTGTAAAACAACAGCCTTGCGTATGATATTCGCTCTCATTATCCGGAACTCCCACCTATAATTACCCCTCATACTACCATATTCCCCTTTTCGAACAGCGTCCAGAACAACGTCAAAAATGAATGAGACGCGACTAGCGATCCAGCCGTACCGCAGCGTGAGCTCCCACGGCGAGAAGCAACGAGAAGCAGCATGTGACCTGAGCGTTGCTCTGCTCATTGTCACACCCGCCATTTCTCTCGTTGTGGTTCTGTACGAGTTCATACATCTACTAAAGTACACTTCCTGCACGACCGAAAGAGACCGTCTTTTTGCTGAGCTGAGCGGCATTTGCGCACGGACGACAACGCAGCAGCTG